ACTGGCCTTCGCGCTCCACAAGGACTTCCCCAGAGCCTGGGCGGGTGCGGGAGGCGGTGTCGCCGCGGTCTAGGGGCGACAGGCGGCGGCCGCGGAGACGCTGGTCGCTGCGTGATGGCTGCCTCGGTGTTCTGCTGCCTGCGCTGCTGCAGGGACGGTGGGACGGGGCACATTCCTCTGAAGGAGATGCCGGCGGTGCAGCTGGATACGCAGCACATGGGTAAGGGCCCTCCCCTCCCCAGACCCAACGGCCCACCCGGGGTCGGGCGCAGCGCAGGTCGGGGACAGTGTGGGGTCGGAAGGACCAGAGGCGGCCGGGCGCCGCCCCCCGCTCCTCCCCCAGCGATGCTGCGGTGACCCGGTTTGGTCTCGCGGATTTCCTCCAGACGCCTGCCGACTCACTTCGGCCGGGTTCTGCGTTCAAGGCTACGCACCCCTGCCTGCCCCTGTCACCGAGAGATGGGTATGAGGACATACCCATTTTCACAGAAATCTCTGAGGATGTCCCCAGGCGAGGGACGCGGGGAGTGCTCTGTTACTCCTCCTGTAGTGCCCTCCTGTCGAGCTCCAGTCAAAACCTGCATATTTTCAGAGTGCTTTAGGTCTGATTCCCTCTCCTTCTACCCTGACAGTCAGTTTTCTCTTTAGCTCATTATATATGGGTTGGAGCTTTTTTTATTGGAAGTGATTTTTCTCTTGCCTTCTAAAGTCAAAACAAGGCAAATTGCAGAAGCCTGAAGTCGCATCTCAGGTCACAACCTGCCATTTCAGCTAAAGCCTCCCATTGCCCTGACTCCTCCTTAGTCACGAATAATGGTGTAATTCCATCTGACTGGCCTCTTCCCAACAGGTTAGACTTTGCAGAATAAAACAGCACTTTGCTCCTTTGCATCTGTGTTTTTTCCTCCCAATTTCAAATGGGCATATAACTTCTAACATTCTTCCTCTTCCCTCTGTAGCCCCTTTCACAACCTTATTATTTCTATTCTTTGACTTTTCCCATATAGTTCCATGCTTCTGGAGTATGGTTCTAGAAGGAGAGATTTCCCTCTATAATTATTTCGGTTAGAGTACTATCTTTGTATGTATTATTCTATTTGAAATATACTTATGCATTTTTTATTTTTCCCACATTTCTCATTGGCTAAAGGACAATTATTGAAATAACAAAGGCAGTTCTTAATATTTATAGCAAAACCCTCTCCTGCCCAGATTCTTTATAATTATGGAACACTCTGCCCATTATATTTTTATATTTCTATAGCATGTACTAAACCATAAATATGATAATTGTATGCCACTTTATACATGAGTATTTTTACTTCTTGGATTTCCCAAGTGTAATACAGAACCTTAATAAACATGTATGTATCTATATGTTTATCTCTTTAAATGATTTATTATCCATCATCATTTATAGACAGATACGTTTAAATCATGTAATTTCCCACAGAAAATGTTTCCTTTTCATTTATTTATTCGCTCAGCTGATATATATGGAGCAACTATCAGGTGGCAGGCATTGTTTTAGGTGCTGAGAACTCAGTAAAGGACAACTATATGTAGTTTCTGGAGATTATGATCAACTGACTCTTTTTATCTACTGCCAAAGTCCTGATTTACTGCAGTTTGCTTTTTCAAACATTCTTTTTCTCTTATCTGTTGTCCATGAAGAGTTGGTCAGTCGTACTCATTCTACTATGTTATTCTTGAAGGCTGGCTTCCATGATACTTAGAGCAGCTCCCTGGGCTTCCTCAAACAGGTCCAACAAGAATGAGAGAGTGTCTTTATCCCTTCATTCTCTGCAAAAGACCTGAGACTATCTCTGATCGTAGTGGCTTAGGTCATATAACCATTTTTCACTCAATCACTGTGGCCAAGAATTGTGGAATGCACTGATTGAGTTAACCTAGGTCAAAGCTGTACCACAAAAGCTAGAGACTGAGTCAGCTTCTGTAGGACTATTTTGATCTCCAGAGGGAAGTCTTTCGGGAAAGGGAAACAGATGCTACATGTCTACTACAGAGTGCTTAGCAGAGCATATTTATTCACGAATTCCTGTATTGGTTATTTGTTGAGTGTCTGCTAGATGCCAAGCACTGCATGGTCTTTGCCATGAAAGAGGAGCTGGGCCCTCGATACTTTCTAGTGGAAATTGCCGGAGGTATATTTTATAGCCAGATATAAATTATTTATAACGGTACTTTCTCAGAATTTGGGATTTAACATTTATAATGAGAAAAAAATGGATGTTAATGAATTTTTAATAATCATATAATAGGATCTTAGTTGGACATTATTTAAGAGTGTGATAGTGTCTGAAAATTTAGAATGGTGATAGATTCTGAAAATTCTACATTTTTTATGTGTTTGTTCCAGATAATTTTTGTTTAAATATGAATTTATAGTGAGTTAATAAGAGATACATTTTATTATTATCCTCTTGTTTTATTTAACCCCATTGGAAGATGTCCCATATAGTTCTGATAGCCAGCTCTTCTTGGCTTGTACATTTATTACCAGCGAAATGGTAATACTGGCCACAGATCTTGGGAGTCACGTGCCCTGGTGTTACTGGATGTTTGTTGCATATTAGAATTATATTAAGTCTCTTCATGTTCTCTGATGTAAATTCTTTTCTAAATCAAGATTTGGAAAAGAATAGGTATTGGCATCACAGTATCAAGAGACAATGTTTTTTACTATCATCTATCAAATGTTATTTGAGCTGAACTAAAAATTTCCATGATAATAAAGAGCTTTTAATGAATCTAAAACCTGGTTCATGTATTTGCAATATGATTGACAGTAGCTATCTTATAAACATTTTTAAGATCCTAAAGTTAGCATTTTTCAGTGTCAGCTATTTCAAGAATGAAGACGTATGTTCCTTTCTATATTCTATGTACTCTTCAGTTCTTACTTGACTAATAAACTAGCATAGTACTTTGTAGCTACGAGATATGCAGCTGGTTTTTAGGAAATTGTTTTAATTCACTTGGATTGAATTGAAAATTGTACTAATTTACCAACGTTTCTAAGTGTTTATGTTTTTATTTAAATTAAGTGTTTTATGAAATCATCAAATTGATTTATTGGCTAAATATTAAAGAAAGTCTGTTTCTATCTTAAAAGTATTTTAAATATTCAGTATAATACAGTTGGTACAGTTTATTTGAAACTGACTAATTAAACAAGATTTCTAGCTACAATGAATATTAAATATAAATATTATCTCAGGGGAAAAATAGCGAAGTAAGAATTTAAATACTTTATCACTATTTCTGTATTTTAAAGTGCATGTAGTGTTCCTGTTTTTTATGGACCACAAGTTAAAAATGCAACAAATTAACCTTGACTATTGGATAAGAAAATAAAAAACTTTACATAGTGTCTGCATTTTTTGTTTAGGAACAGATGTTGTCATTGTAAAAAATGGAAGAAGAATATGTGGAACAGGAGGTTGTTTAGCCAGTGCACCTTTACATCAAAACAAAAGCTACTTTGAATTCAAAATCCAGTCCACAGGTTGGTATAATGTTACTTTACTATCAAAAGTTCTAATTGTTCTGAATATTAGAAGTAATTTTCAATTTAAAAAAGGTTAATGAGGCAATAAAAAAGCACCAGGCTCTTACCTAGAAGACATTTTCTTCTACCTCTTGTGTGATTCTGGTTTAATAGTTTAAATATAGTTAAATTAGGTTCAGTTTTCTTATCTATAAAATGGGATTATAGGAGCTACCCTTCCTGCCTCATGTGACCTGTATTTATGAAAGTGTTTTAAAGGCAGGACATCCTAGGTCAGTGTAAGGCACTTAGCATTATTATTAACATAATTGATTATTAATGGCAGCTAGGTGCACCATTTTGTTTGGTTGAGCATATAAGGTATAGATTCTCCCTGTTTTATCTTAGGTTAAAATCAATCTTAGGATCCTGAGTTTTTCTCTCTTCTTCTCAAGGTACCCTGATTCAGTGTTATCTGAAGTAATCAGCAGACTTAGAATTCTAATAGAAGTCTAAAGTCTGTGCTTCTCTTTAAAAATTTATGGAATTTTATGAATTGTATAACAATCCTACCTGAGTATTATGACAGTTAACAGTTTACTTGTGGGAGTATTGAATATAGGGAAATTTTTTTAAAGCTTTATTATGAAGAAACTTTTAGTGAAATATATAGCATGAGTAATAGAGGTACAGAATAGGAAAACTAGAGTACAATAAATCAATCTTACTCTAACCCAACTGTCTTGATGATATAAAACATTCTTCTGGGGCTTGTTTTCTAATTAGTTTTAAATACTGATTTTCTTAAGTGTATGAAATAAATATAAACTGCCCTCCATTCCATTCTTTTATATGTTAACTCACTGGCTGCAGAACATCTTTGGTTACTGTAATCTTCTGAAGTATAACATACTCTTTCTCAAGAGAAGCAAATAGTTTCTTGAGCCTTAAATCTAACACAAATTTTTATGGATTTTCTGTAAAGAATGATATCCCCAATGATATCAGCAGGATAATGCACTGTCGGAGTTTGTAGCATTGATCTCTGAATGAAAGCTTGAGGCAGTTGTGCCAGTGTATCACAGCCTGCACAGTTTTTTAGGAGTAAGGAGACTATAACCCTTTATAGAACGTCGTCCCGTGAAATTAATTATATTACCTCTTGTCACCCTTAACATTGTCCCAATTTGGAAGATAAATTATGTAGTCAAATTATTTAGAAGGACAAGACCGTGAAGTTCAGTTGTACAGCTTTTTGATCGTCTCACTCAATCCAGAAAGATTGATTAACAGCATGGTCTTCAAATCTTCCATTTATAGAATTTGATTTTGCTTAAAATGGGGAAGGAAACTGTTTGAGACAAAATCCAGAGATCTAAGTATTCTGTTTGACTGGTTAAGAGAAGGGCTGCTTGTTTTAAAAGTCAGCTTAGGCCAAAAGGTTTTAAATTCATTGACTTAAGATATTAGATAAGAAAATGATTTTACATTTTATCAATAATTTTCTCTTCTCCATGATATTGACTGGGTTATATATTATTTATCGCGTATTATAGATGCAAAAACTAAAGACAGTAATTTTCCACTTTTTAGAGGTAGTGCTCGAAATAGAACCCTAAGCCATTTAAATTCAATGTGTACCATTTTAAAAATCTTTTTTAGAGAAGAAGAGTAATGAAAATAGCTAGTATTTTAAAAATATTTACTCTGTGCTTTACTTACTCATTTTTTTTTTGAGTACTTACACCATTCCAAGGGCTTTACTTGAATTATCTTGCTTTATCTTATAATAACCTTGCGAGATAAGTAGCGTTGGAATCCACAGTTCACAGGTGAGGAAGCAGAGAAGTTAGATAACTTGCCCAAGATGATAAAGCTATGTCAGGATTTAGACCTATGCATACAACTCCAGGGCCCACTTATCTACTAGGCTGTCCTCTGTTTGCAGAGAACAAAGGATAATTTGCAAACTGCTTTTAAAGATTTTTTTTTTAAAGATTAGCAAAATATAGTTCATTATATTTTTAGGAATCTGGGGTATTGGCGTTGCAACTCAGAAAGTTAACTTGAATCAGATTCCTCTTGGCCGAGATGTGCACAGTCTGGTGATGAGAAATGATGGAGCTCTGTACCACAACAACGAGGAGAAAAACAGGCTGCCAGCGAACAGCCTTCCACAGGAGGGGGATGTGGTGGTGAGTTTCCTTGTGGGATTGTCTTCCACACTGCTTTTGGTATATGTAGTTTTGTCTGGGAGTTTGTAGTTTGAATTCTAAAGCACAGGGGTTGGATCTAATGAGGTCATACATCTTCCAAAGAGAGCACTTGGTGTTAAGTGCTGCCACCTTACCTTCCTTCTAGAAGGATGTCAGTGTGAGCCCATGTTTCCAATCAAAAGAATTAATGACGGGTTGGCTGCTGATCAGCATGTCCTGCTTCTCTCACATCAGAGAAATTCTGGCCCACAAATTTTAAGATTTGGTACCCTTATATTGGGAAATAGTAGGTATTTTTGCAGCTGGAAATCTCTTAGAGAAAGTTTTGACATTTATTACTTAATTTGTTATGAACTTCTGTTAAAGAATTACAGCATTTTATTAGGAGTGTTAGTCCTCAGTAAGCTTAATCTTATTAAACTTACTTCACTTTCAGAACTCTTCAAAGAAATGGACTCAAAATCCTAAGGCTTTACCAAAGCCACACACTATTGAAAATATAGTCCAAATATCCCTTTTTATCTTTTCCAGATACTTCCTCTCATACGGTATTATCCAAGAAACTTATACACTGAGTTCAGGCTATTAGCTATTGATAGAGAACAATTCTTGGGTCTCCTTTAGCAAAGGCACCCTTATACTCCAAACCGTGGGTTTCTGCCTCTGGTACCAAGTTGAAAGGAGTCTGTAAATAATGAGAGAAAGTTTCTGATAATAAGATGACGCAGACAAGGTAAATTCAGATTATTGAATTAAAGAAATATACAGTATTTTGGAGAGAATGAAGAGGTGGAAATTATGATTTTAATTATGGTCTGATCTCTTCTGCAATTTAAAAAAGATGAACATCATTTAGTTTTTAAATAGGTAAATTGTTAGAAGTGTTGTTTTCTAAAATTGACAAAAAAGGAGACAAAAGGTATAAACTATTTTTAAAATCTGCTTTCTCTCCTCTTCTTTTTGAATAGTTGTGTGTGTAATTGTAGATCATTGCCAGATGTCCATAATATGGAACACCATTATTGAAATGGTTGTGTCTTGAAAGACAATTTTGAAGTCAGATTGATGCGGTCAACCTGTTTACACTAAAAAAATTAAATTTAACCATAAGATAGGATAATCAGTAACAAATGTTTTTCTTTGTTTATGTACTGAACTTCTGTGCATTATTTTTGCCTAGGAATTTCATTCATTGAGATGACTGATACCACAAATTGACAGATTTAAGAATGTCATTTTTAGTTTGTCACCATTATTCAATCGGACTTTGAGTTTCATGACCATTTGATAAAAGGACTAAAAAAGATGAAATATATGCATAATCAAGAAAAATAAAACATTACCCTACCACATTAACTTTATCGTTCTAGTTCAAACACTTGAGAACAAATTTCACCAAATTGCTGACAGTGGCACAGGAAAAGTAGAATGGATTCTCATATGTGTAGAATTTCAGTCATATACCATCCTTTGAGGTGAAATCAAGAAAAATAAGCTTTCAACATCTAACCAAATGATTATATTCATATAATAATCATATAGTACCAGTAGGGCCTACTTCAGCACTAGGAAGGCATACACGAGACAGCTTATGCTTATTTTTTCCTTTTATAAATAGTTTTGAAAAGTGAAAATTACATTCTAAAATAGCATTTTTTAGTTTAATTTCAGAGAAGTTTGATAAACATTCTACACAATAATAGCAAATATTTCTCTAGCCTGTATTATGGGATAAGCACTGTTTTACATACCTGTCAAGGATTAAATTGTTTAATCCTCATAATGACCATATGAAATGGTAATTAGGTAGTATTATTTTCACCATGTTACAGATTAGGAGAAGTAACTTGTATGGGGGTAATCCCAGGGTTCTAATCAGTCTGTTCGTTAAACCTGCAAACAGTTAATACATCATTATGTCAGAATCAAACCTAGTTTCTAGATTATATAAAAAGACAGATCAAGTTAGAAAATACTTGAACTAAATGATGCTGATGAGGGATGAGTATTCTCATATTCTTCCTCACTTCTTTCTTTGGTATTGGGATTTTGTTGTAATGTTGGAGGCTTGGGTTTAAAATTTGCTTATTTGCAGTAGGTTATGCTGCCACCAGGTGGTGAAGGGTGTTTGGATTACAACCTAGTCATAGGAACTGCTAGGTTCCCTGTAGTCCTATACAGTAACACACTTTGTTTTTTATGTAATTTATAAGTTTTTGATTTTTAAGTGAAAACATACCTCTTCATTAAAAAAGCTAATCCCAGCCATCAGTTAGCTAAACTGAAATGAAATAAAGGCAATCTTTATCTTACTCAGTATTCCTTAAATTTTAAATCGTTGTTTAACCCTGGCTTTGCTAAAATTTGAAGAGAATATTTTGTAGCACTTAATACATTAACTTATCTGAGCCTTTGCTGTCTTAACTGAAAAGTGAGAGAGGTAAGACTAGATCCTCTGTAAGATCTTTTTCTACCTCTAAAAAGCTTTTAAGTCGATATAATTTGTACACAGTCAAATCCTTGAAGTGGTTGCTTCTTGGTCTGTGATGATTTCTCTACTGAAAAATTGCTGCTGTCTATTCTTAATTCTTCTGAGGAAAGCTCTTTTTGTCATCAGTCAGTAACTATAATATAAAGTTTTAAAGGAAGTTTTAAAAGTTTAAAATTACATGGCAATTAGGAATAAGTATTCCAAAACTATACTGTTTAGTATAGTTTTAAATCCCAGCTCTGCCACTTCCTAGTCATGCAGCCTTAGGTATAAATTATTTAACCTCTTTATGCTTTAGCTACCACATCTGTAAAATGGAGACAGTAAAAATACCTATCTTATTGTGAGGAATAAATGAGTAAATATGAAATGCCTAGAATTGTGCTTGGTGCATATTATAGGCTAAGTTTTCCAGCATTCTAATAATAATAATAATTGTTATTAATTATGATTTTCATATCAATAATGTACAAAGTAATAGTTTTCATTCTATTGTTCTTTTTAAAATATTTCGAGCTGTTGTTTTTCTATTTTTCTGCTTGATACTAATTACAAATGACAGTCGATCCTTGAACAACGCTGAGATTAGGGACACCGACCCCCTGCACAATCAAAAATCCACATATAACTTTTGACTCCTCCAAAATTTAGTTGTCCCTCAGTGTCTGCGGGAGATTGGTTCCAGGACTGCCCGTGGATTCCCAGATTCGTGGGTGCTCAAGTGCCCTGTATACAATGGCAGAGATCAGTGAATAGTTGGCCCTCTGCGCCCCTGACCAGGGATCAAAAGTTGCACAGGTGTTTATTGGAAAAAACTGCATGTGAGTGACCTGTGCAGTTCAAACTGTGTGGTTCTAGAGTCAACTGTATATTTGGTTGTAAGCACTAGTTTTACTTTGGTAATATACTTGACATATTTGAAACCATGGTAAAGAAATACAGAAATGTATGATTTCTTTTTGGAGATAAGTTGTATAAAGACGCTTCTTCACAACTTGAAAACAGTGACAGGCTATAAGCCCTAACAGTGAAAACGTCATTGTTTCCCACCCCCTTCAGATCATATCCTAATATAGAAGTAGTGTTTATGAGTTTAAAAGGTCTCTCTGTTCACAGTATGCACTAGTTATATCATCTTAAATATTCAAAATATAAACTCCAGATTCTCTAAATATAATGTTAGGTTTTAAACTGATATCATTCGTTTTACCTCTAATGTGGACTCTCAGGATTTTACCTCCCTTTCCCCCACATAATCACCACCCATTGTTTTTTGCTCAGTTCAAATAGAATTCTTCCAAATTGTAAACCCTTAATGAAAGCTATTGTGACCCTTTATTTAGTTTTTTGTCTTTCCATGCTTCACGGTCAGTGCTTTCTGACTGTTCAAGTTTTTATGAAATGTTGCTATTTTTACCATTTTTAATACTTTCTTTTGTTCCTAGGGTATTACATATGACCATGTAGAATTAAATGTATATTTGAATGGAAAAAACATGCATTGTCCAGCATCAGGTATACGAGGGACAGTATATCCAGTTGTTTATGGTAAGCTAAAATATTTCTAAATATTATTAGATATATGTTAACTTTTGCTTGATATTTTTATTAACTTTAGATCTATCACTCAGAAGTCTGGACAAGTTGTTATAAGGACTTTTTTTTATAGGGATTGTACTGTTAGGATATCACAGTCCTAATGTGCAGGACTAAGGAAGGTTTTTTTTCTCAGTAAAAGGTGTGTAAGTACCATAGTTTTTGTACATGTGTGTGTCCTTAAGAGATAACCCTGTACCACTTGAATACTTTAATTTTTATTATGGAAAATTTCAAACATGTTTAGAAATAAAGATAATATATAATATATGATATATCCATCACCTGTCTTCAAACAGTTTTCAACTTATAGCCAGTCAGGTTTCATCTACTCCCAACACTTCTGTTCTTCACCTCCCTTCCTTGGATTATTTTGAGGCAAATGCCAAATATTATATTATTTTACTCATAAATATTTTATGTGTATCTCTAAAAAATAAGATCGCTCTCTTTAAAAAATAAATCCAGAATGCCTTTATCACTCTATTCTGCTTTATATTTTATCAACTTTAAATCAACAGGTGTGTGATTCTTCTGCCTATGGTTTTAATAGGTCTAAAACTATTTTCTCATTCAACTACTTTATTTAAGTTCTTAGATTTGAGCCATAATAAAAACTAATTGTTAACTTTTGTATTGATTTTCTAAAAAATTAACAATGTTAACGAAGACAGATTGGGATGTTAGGAAAGTAGACAATAACAAATATAAATATTTAATAATATGGTAATAACAACCAATGCTTGTGCTTTCCTTTTCATATAAGATTTTTATTAGTCTTTTTTCTCCTAAAAATTACTTTTTAATTATTTTATCTTCTGTGTCTTTGTATGTAAAAGTATATTTTTAAATTTGATTTAGGTTAGTTGTCTTTCGTTCTTGGGCAAGCCTAAAAGCAATTCCTTTATTTACTGAAATAAATGGAAATGTGGCTTAATTTTCAAACTAGTTTAGCCTGAGAAATGATGTTAATGTCAGTAGAATCACTGAGTTATACAAATGAGTAGCAAATAAAATTATTACTCTAAATTTTTTCTTTGATTCAGCATTTTTAGTTATAGATAGTAAACTAAATAAGTTATAGATAGTTTTTAGTTATAGATAGTAAACTAAATAAGTTATAGTAAAGTAAATAAAGTTATAGATAGTAAACTATGGTAAAGTATATTTTATAAATTGGAATTGATAAATTTGTCCAATTAAACCAAATATTTTAATAGTTCGATACTATCGTAGATAAAAATAAAACAAGTTTCCTTACTCTTTGTCCTCCATCCCATCCCTAATCTTAGATCAATCCAGCCACTCATTTTGTTCTTACACTCAACCTATGGAGAGAAAAAACAGTATAACACTGAAGAAAAGTGTCATTACAAGGTTATGACTTCTGGTGTGATCTAAACTGTCAATATTTTTTGGCAATTCCTTTACATCTCTAAACACTCCAGACCACTGTACGTCTTGAATTCTCTGCTCATTCTCTGCAGACAATCTTGCCCTCTACTTTATAAAGAAACAGGCTATCAGGAGTGAATTCTACCTTCCTTTCTTTACCCCGCTGAAGCTTTTCCGGATTGACTGCAATGTTGCCTCCTTTCCACTCCGTCTCAGAGGAGTGGTACCCTTCATGGTCAAAAACTCAGTCCGTAGTCTGGGTTTCAAACTCCCCAACTATGGGACTTCACTTTGTCAGTTATTTCATCTATATCTCATGTCATCAACCTCTCTCTTCAATGCCTGTAAACATTCTGAGTCATTCTCAACTGAAAAACCCTCCCTTAAACTCGTACCCTTCGCCAGCCGTTTTCCCTTCTCTATATGGCTTCCTTTCTTAGAGAACAGCCTGTTGTGTCGTTCTTTTGTCCTTCAGCCCAATTTGGCCACCTTTACCACCACTGCGCTGAAACCACCCTTGTTAAAATCACTAGTGACTTAAAGAATGTCAAATCCAGTACTTAACTTTTTTCTGTGTTTATTTTAAAATATAAAATATTTAGTAATGTTCATTAAATATATATGTGCAGTTTAACAAATAGCTATGAAGTGAACACTCATGTCATTGCCACAGTCAAGATAAAATTTATCACCCCTAAAAGTTTCCTCCTGCTCCCTCATAATCCTTCCTGCTCACCTCTCCCTACCCCAGCCCCAACCAGGCAACCACTGATCTGCTTTCTGTCATTACAGATTATCTTGCATTTTTAGAGTATTCTGTAAACAGAATCGCAGATTTTGTATTTTTTTTTTTGTCTAGGCTCTTTTATTCAGCATAATTATTTTAAGATTCATCTATGTCGTAGTATGTATCAATAATTCAGTCACTTCTATTGCCAAGTAGCATAGTTCATTGTGTGGGTAAATCACAATTTTTGTTTCCCTTCACCCGTTTATGAATATTTAGGTTGTTTCTGTATGGGGGCCATTAAAAATAAAGCTGTCACACACATTCTTGTATAAGTCTTTGTGTGGATATATGTATTAATTTCTCTCAGGTAAATGCTGGTAAAACATGTAGATGCTGAATAAGACCTGGAGTCTAGTTAACAGTATTTTTGTCAGTGTTGCTTCTTGGATTTGATACTGTACTCTAGTTATGGAAGATGTTACTACTGGGGACATGGTATCATTTTTGCAACTTCTTGTGAATCTACAATTTTTCAAAATGCAACTAAAAAAAGTAATGTATTTTAATTGTATAAAATTTAGAAAATACAGGTTGGCAATTAAGGAAAAATGCAAATTACCCATAGTCACACCATTTAAAAATAATTATTAATACTATTTTGATGTATATCTTTTCAAGGTTTTGATATATAGGTTGTTTTTCATTGTGGCTGTTTTTACCCATTAGGCTCATGTTTTGTAACCTTGACAGTAGATGTGTTTATGCTTCTTGCCTATTGATATTATGGAAACAGTTTATTTTATAATTATTCATAACAAATTAAAGTGTTTGATTCTAATTTATTTTCTTTCTTTTTCTTTCTCTAGTTGATGACAGTGCAATTTTGGATTGCCAGTTCAGTGAATTTTATCATACTCCTCCACCTGGTTTTGAAAAAATATTATTTGAACAGCAGATCTTCTGAATGCATTTGTTTTTGAAACTTGTATTTCTGTAGTTAAAAGTGTTTACCATTTAATAAAGCTTTACCTGACCTATAGATGAAAATATATTCTTAAAAATATGCTTGCTAATGTCGTTTAAGGAACCAGTGTATTCAATATACCACCTGGAAATTGTTATTTAAAGTTCTTATGTTTTGTGATATGAAATCAGCATTTGGGGCAGTTTATTTAATTCTTATTTAAATAAATATAACTATGGGTTTGATTATCAGTATTAAGTGGAAATATGTATATAGATATTTGAAACGGAATCTTTCTTACATAAAATATTTGTTATGGTGAAGATGTAGAGTTGGGTGGGTTTTTGTTACTCTGAAGTTTAAGTCTCATTAACTTTTTTAAGTCTTATACAGTCCAATAATTTTGTGTCTCAGTGTCCTTTTTTATATAGAATATAACAAAGTGACAGAAATTTTTATTATTGGCATCTTCATTTTCAGCAATTTACTGTAAAATGTACCACTTATCTTTAAATTTCTTTTTTTTTTTTTTTGTATGTCATTGCTTTTGATTTTCTTTGTGAAAGAAGCTGAACGTTTTAGTAATTGTTAGAGTATTTTGTTGAGGACCATTATGCTGTGTTACTTCAATACCAGAGTAAGTAGCGGTTGATTGGTGATATAGTGTACACTGGCAGACACTTAGAATAGTATGATGCTTTAAACTTAAATGTAAATGAGATTATTCTTTTAAAAACTTTTATTTAAATGTGTGTTTTTCTGTAAGGAATAATAAAATAATAGTGCTTAAGGAATATTCACTACTGTATTAAATATATGTTCTTTCTGTTCTGTTAATTATACAGTAAATTCACTTCACCCTTGATTATTTCAAGAGTTTAGAGATAAGTGAATTCTCACCATGACCCTGAGCCTTTGCCTAATTTTCAGTAAGAATCCCTGTCCTTTAGTTTACACCATGCTAACTGGAACTAATTTCTGTACCCGTCTTCGGTACAGTCTCCTTTTCAAATTGAACAAGCCAAGGATGGCCATATTTCACTCCTTTATCAACAAGGGAGCAGTATGTTGTACTAGAAGAAGATGCGCATTGGAATAGGAGATCTGAATTAGTTTTGCCACCTAATCCCATTATCCCCTCAAGACCTGAGCCCAGATTCCCCATTTATAAAAGAAGCATACTTATTTGATAAGATTTTACAGCTAGTTAAATAAGGTAATATATGTAAAACATCTTAATCATCATAGGCACTTAATAAATGTAGCTTCCCTGTTGACTGGAAAGCAGTGGTTTTCATAGTGTGGTCCTCAGGCCGGCAGCATCAGCATCACCTGGGAACTTGTTAGACAAGGACGTTCTCAGGCCCACTCCAGTCCCACTGAATCAGAAACTCTGGGGATAACACCCAGGAATGGGTATTTGAATAAGCCCTTCAGGGGATTCTAATACACGCTAAAGTTTGAGAACCACTGCTCAAGAGAGAATTATTTAATAATGATTGCCAACTAACTATAAATTTCCAAACATTTAACACAGACTATTTTTGACCTGCAGGCAAAAGAATTCTACCCAATATTTATTCATTGCTTATTTGGTAGACAGAATCATGACAATGTGCTTTGAAAACATATACTTGAGTAACATTTATTTATATAAATCTCAAATTTTACCTCTGAAGATATATAGACTTGAACTAACTATTATTTATGCATTTTTGTCTGACTTTGTCTCTTAGTAATTTTAATTCATAGAGAACATGCTTAGTTGGGAAAGTAAATTAAAATGACCACCGTTTGCCATCTTTATAATGTTATCTACCTCTTAGTTATTTTTTTAAAAGCCAGCCTTTTTTTTTAATCATCGTATTCTTTTCTCAAGACTATCTTTTCTGCCTCTAATCCTACAGAACAGGCACAGTACCAGAAGCGATATATGAGTTATATCAATGGCTACAGTTCGATGAAGTCTAGATGTGTTTTTAACCTGTTGGTGTCTAATTACCTCCCCAAAACCTATAACCTCAGTCTAAACTTAAGAAAAACATCAGACAAATTCCAGGAGCATCCTGCAAAATACCTGGGCAGTAGTCCTCCAAACTGTCAAGGTCATCAAAAACAAAGAAATCAGAGAAACTGTCACACCCAGGAGGAACTTGAGGGGCCATGACAAGTAGATGCAGTGTGAGAATCAGGAACAGAGAAAGGACATTAAGTAAGAACTAAGGAAATCCGAATAAACTATGGACTTAAGTTACTAATAATGTATCAACATTCACTGATTAATTATTAACAGAACGTACCATACTAATGTAAGATGTAACAGGAGAGACTGGGAGAGGGGATATATGGGAACTCTGTACTACTCAATTTTTCTGTAAACTGTTCTTAAAAATAGTTGTTTAAAAGTTACCCTGAGCTAGGAGAAATTAAAAAATAAAGCCTCTCATGAAGCCAATAGAATATTAGTATATATGCACAGCTTAAATATTTAATGATAGCTAAATATAGACATAGATGGGACATAAAACTTGCTTTTATTTTAAAAGACAAAGACCTGCATTTGTTCTTGGCTGAAGAGAACATCGTCCACTGTCTTTTTTCTGAATATTGCAAAAATCTATTTGTTCGCACTAGTTATTCATACTCAGACTGAAAATAATTTATTATTCATGTTATTTCAGTGATTTCAACATTGCAAGGGATTTGTAATGTTAGATATGTGAAACAAAGTCTTATAATCAGTTTACATATTAAAATCCAGAAAAGGGGAATTTGACTGTTAACTGCCTTCAGCTTATCAGTTAAGATTATTTGACTATACTTCCAAATTGGATTACAAACATAAGAATGACAAAATATAATTTAAAGTTTTTCTAAATCATTAACAAAAACATGCATAATATTGTTGCTCACATCTCTTTTACTACTGTATGTTTACTTAATATAAGTCTAGATATGGACAGCAAAAGCATATCTAGAAGTGTGAGTGAAATCTTTGACAAATCTTGATAAAATATGTTAAACTTGTTTTAGAAAATGCAAAAACACTAGATATGATTTGTGAGAAGAAACTAATCAAAACTGAAATTTCCCTGTACACAGATATAACCAAGCATAGTACTCAAAAATGGAACATAATCAACGACCACATATCGATTTGCATTATTTATGCAACCTGGCAGGGAAATACTGTTGGGAGCTAAGAAGCCTGTTAATATGAATGAGTGGATGCAAAGTAACAGTATCAGTTAACTATTGCTTTCCCATTTACTGGATATGAGACTCCCTTTTAACATGCTCTTTTAAAATAACTGGGACCAAGTTTTTAAAATAGTGTGTAGAAACAATAATGTTAGATATAATTAGCGAGATAAATGGATCACACCATCCATACAAGAATTCTTAGAAATTTAAAGGAAAAATTATCCCAGTATTGGATGCAATGTGTAATCTGTAGTTACATAGGGATCATTACAATATAGTCATTCACAATTGCATCGTCTGTATGTTGTATTTCATAAATACTTAAAATAGTCCCTGGCTGGAAGGAACTCTGCTACTTGTAACTTATTCATAAGTATGGCTCTAGGATATCCAAGATATGTTGGTAAATGAAAAAAAAGTAAATTGTTAAATATTTGTATGTATAACACGACTCATTTGAAAAAACAACAGAAACAAGCCTTATGTATAGGAAAAAGTGATATATACCCAAGTATATCTACCTTGTGAAGTTTACAGTTTTACATTTATCTAATAAATTTCATTCAAGTTTATTGTTTATATTGTTTGGGGAATAAAAAATAATTTTAAAAAATAAGAGGAAAGACTGATTCTGAAGGAAGCCCTGTACACTAGAGAATGGTAAATTTTACATCCATACCTAAAAATAGAAAAAGCTGCAGTAGAATCACAGTTCAATTACTAAATTACATGATACCGTGTGTTTCATAGAAATTTATTTGAAAGGATTCAGAAACTTCAGTTGATGCTATGCCAGGTACCAGTGCACACGTGGTCCTCAACTCAGGGAAGTAATAGTGCTAGTGAAGCCACGTGAAGGAGACCAGTTCTAGTAGACACTGCACTTTAGAAAGAACAATGATAAACCAGCAGAGGCTACCAGGCTGCTGAGGGGCTGCTTACTCCATAAATGAATGAATAATCCTTAAAGACACCGAGAATGTTAGAAGAAAATATTCAATCCACTGGGCTATTGGAGCCAAAATGACTTATGAAATGCTAATCATTATTAGAAAGAGACTAGAAATACAACTACCAAAATCTATAGATTCAATGTGTGTGATTCTCACTAATGTATTTCAGGAAAGATAATCATAGATGTATTTCAGATATCTGACTGTTCATTGCTTGAAAAAAAAAATGAGTGGATTTATTTTCTGTTGTCCCGGAGGCAGGATTATTGGATGGTACAAGGAAGCAGATTTCAGTTTAAGATGAGAAGAAACTTTCCTATTATTAGTTCACTGATGAAATTGCTGCCTTGCAAAGAGATGAACTTCTGGTCCCTGGAATTGTTCTAACAGTTGTTTCAAAATGTGGGTTTTATTCAGGTATGGTGAGCCAACAGTTCAGGAGATGACTGCCATTGTTACAGTTCTCAAGAGAAGAGGACATACATGCCACACAGGGACACACAGGTAAGCACTGGAGTCTGTCAGGAGCAAAAAGGAGCAAAGGGAAGAAGGCATGGGCATGAGCCTTGTGGTTTCCATGGTCAAGGCAGAATAAGCATACTTACGGTTGGCTAGTTTGAATAGCAGACTCTGGGGTAGAGGGGCTGTCCCCAGTTATCTGGTACCTGGCCCTGGGATGATTAACAGGACAATACTGACTTGGAGTATGAGAGCCTGGTAGAGGGGGTGGGGGCTATGGATTGATTGGTTTGCAAATGAAAGACAGGCTCCTGGAGCGAGTCATTTGCTGACTCCAGGAATCAGCTAACCCCACGTGTGGCAGTCTCTCCCACATCCATGAGGCCCCAGATGCCAGAGTGTCAAGAATACAGAAACTAAGAAAATATAATTGATACACAGGCTAGATGACCATCCCAGATATCTTGTAAATATGGTTCTTGCTTAGTTAGAGGTTGAACTAGATGTTTTCTAAAACTCTGTGATTCTGATTCATTCATTCAAACTGTTGCCAAACTCCAAACAAGTTAAATTGAAAACAAAGAAAGGGGAGATGTAGGATCTCCAGGGATCTATACTAGGATTTTTCATATTAAAAGTGGTGTTAATTCTGGAAAGGGGACATGATATTCAAGTAAAGTAGGAATATAGTGCTAGCTCAACAGGGTAAACTAGACTTCTCACACCATGTTGTGAGTAGACAGAAGTGATTTATAAGTGATGAACAAGAAACTGAGATTTGGGGGTAAATAGTCAAAACTGTGAATATCATGGTCTCCTAGGTATTATTTAAGCTCAGAAAGAGATCTCTATAGGTACCAGTCCAGTATGTAGTCACAATCAAAAGTATCTATAAAATGCTAATATTAAGAAGATTATCTGAAAATTAAGCAGATAATCTGATCAATCACTATAAGAAACAAGACACAAAACTTGTCTCTCCTTACCTACATAAAGTTTGCTTATTGCACTTCAGATGAAAAGGTGAGTTGAAGAAATCCCGAAAAAGAATAACAAGTGACCAAGAGAAGGCAGGTCATTAGACATGGAGGCATTTCAATCTGAAAGTCAAGGTTGAAAAAGAATATTATCCAAATCTATAAAATCATGGTGAGTATGATGGGTAGGGTGAACTTGGAATAGCTTATCAAATTCCTG